TTTTCCAGTACCGGGATCAGCAGATTATTTTTATAATGACTTTCAAATTCAGTGTCCAACACACACAAAAAATCACCTGGCACATGAAATGAGCAAATGAGAGCTAGTGGGAACTTGGAGCAGGAGAAATTCCAGAGAGTACAGCTATGAGACACAGGTCTGAGACAGCCACACTCAGTAGGTTCAAGGAGAAAACCAGCATAACTGGGAGGTTCAGGCACAGATCTAGAGCCCATAAGAATGACATGGCATACTTTAGAAAGTCAGATAGAAATTCCAGTCCTGAAAACTACAAGATTCCAGAACTTGATGTTTAAGCAAAGGTCTAAAAGCAAACTAAAAACAGCCAAAGAGAACTAGTAAAATAAGTCAGATGAAACTACCCAGAGGAAAACCATGAATTGCAAAACAAAATAGGAGATAGTAGTGGACAGAAAAGACTTTTACTCCAAGTACCAGGAAGCAAGAGGGGAAAAACAAAAGCCCTACCTCAACAAAGCAACCAAGAAGACTTCAACACTGAGGAAAGTCCCCAAAACAAATTCAAGCCCAACTAATTCCAAGCAGGTGAAAGGAAGAGAAATCCACACTGTTAACCAAGACCAGATAATGGCAAACATCCACACAGACGTCAGGCACACGGCCATGCAGCAAGGGCGACGTCAGGCTGTGGGTGAGGCTCTGCAGGTGGGAAGAACTCCATCCAGGACTCCTGGATGGGTGTCATGGAGCCTTCTGACTCCTTCCTGCTGAGCCAGCCTATTGCTGGACCCTGCAGGGCATCTCCAAAGCTGTCCTGATAATAGGTAGGTTTGTCTCTCCTAACACACCCAGACATGACACCTGAAACTACAGAAAACCAAGGCAAAGAGAGTGTTAGAGACAGCCAGAGCAGAGCAAGACCTATTACCAGATCTTCAGTCTGCAGCAGGAAAGTGACGGCCAACTCTGAATTCTATGGCAGTCGAGCATCCACTAAGAAAGAGAGGGCTGGGTGTGGTTCAGTGGTAGAACACTTGCTTAGCACGCAGGATCCCCAGCTCAAAAAGAGAAATAATGAAGGTGAAATACAGGCATTTTCTGATAAACTGAAACTGGAAGATTTCAGCCCCAGAAGATCCACTGTCAGAGAAATTCTAAAGGGTGTTTTCCATGCAGAAGAAAATGACCCGAGATGGAAGATCATGGACATAGAAAATATCAAAGTGTGATAAAAATCATATAATTCAAATAAGTGCCAAGTGTGCAACAACAATTAGGTGTTTATCCTTTTCAGTATGCAGGTGTGTATTTACATAGACGTAAAGACAACGGGGGTGATACAAACTCTCAAGTTGAGAGAAGCCACACAACCAGGGCAGCTCCAGCTCCATACCAAGAGGACGGATGCCAGGATTTCTAGGGTGCCGTTGAAAGGAGAGGAGACAGTGTTCAAACAAAGGGAGGCTCAGAAGTAGACTGGAACTTCACCAAATAGGATGGAGAGGAGGAAAAGGCCACAGAGGATGAGAGAAAAAGGTGTTCACAGGATATGGCAGACTGGAGCCCAAATTGCTCAGTAGTAAGTTAAGGAAACTTGAGTGAATCAACAGCAGTCATCAGATGGGGCACAGCCCATGTGAGCAGCTGTGTGCGGGGTCACTTACTCCTACGGCCCCCAGCAGAAAGATGGGAGGGCATGGGACTGTGCCCTCTGCAGCGGGGCAGTCAATGCTCCCTCGAGGACGCCCTCCCTTCTTCCGAAAGGTTCCTGCCCTGTCACGCTCACCCATAAGCCCTTTCCACGCCCAGGAGCAGCAGGGCCTCCTCCGTCTGCTCCATGCTTCCTCTCTTCCGGCCTGGCGCACCCACTGCACAGGGAGGAGCTGGGTGGCTTTAGCTGGCTACCCTCTCTTACACAGCAGGATCTGTCACAGAAAAGTTACTAGGCTTTCATTTTTTAGCTCCCCATCCAGACCTATTTTATTCTTTTATTTATATTTTCCTCCCAGAATAGTACACAATCACTGCTGGAATTTTAGGGAATATAAAATAGCATGGAGATTGAGAGACAATTATAACTTAGTGAGCAGATTCCTGGTCTCTCTCTCTCTCTCTCTCTCACAGGGTTTTGCTATGTAGTTCAGGCTGGCCTTAAACTCAGTGATCCTCCTGCCTCAACTTCCCACATGCTGGGACTATAGGTGTATACCACCATGCCTGGCTTCCTCATCTGTTTTTATTTCTTGCTCTTCCTCTTTTTCTTCTTTTTTTTGGTACCCGGGATTGAACTCAGGACTTTGCACTTGCCAGACAGACATGGTGCTACTGAGCCACATCCTCAGGCCCCTAATCTATGTCCTATGTGTATATGTGGTGTTTTTCTTACAAAAGCAGTTTGTGTGTCTTGCTATGCACAGAAGTATAATCTGCTATTGCACGGGGAACCTTTCATGTTCTAATGACTGCACAGTTTCCATCATGTGGCTGTGTCATGATTCATTAACTCATCTGTCCACTATTTAAATTTTTTTGGTCCCAGTGTTGCTATAATGAAGGACTGTTTATTTATCACACATTTCTGGTTGTTCTCCTAGGATAAATTACTGGAAGTGTCTTTGCTGTCCAGACACTGCCCATTTTTAGAGCTTTGCTAAATGCCTACAGTTAATCTTTAATTACTCTGGACTATGCCAAATTTTTCTATGAACTTTGAAAGTCTGCCTTTTTAAAAGGAATGATCACTCCAGGGGTAGACAGTAGATACGTTTATTCTTGACTTGAATGTTATACAAGGTATACATATACAATGTATAGAGACATAACATGGCACCTCATAAATATCAGTTTTTTTATGTATCAGTTCAAAAAATTCAAAAAATGTGTCTGACAGTCCCTTTCTGGAAGACTGGCTTGTTATCTGCTCTCCCCGCTCTTCCTGTTGCAGGACTGGGGATTGAACCCAGGGTCTTTGCACTGAGCTATATCCCCAGCCCTTTAAAAATTCTGAGACGGGGCAGGGGATTTAGCTCAGTGGTTTTGCCGCCTGCCCTGCAAGCGCAAGGACCCAAGTTTGATCCCCCGTACCCCCCCCCCCCAAAATTCGGAGACAGGGTCTTGCTAGACTAAGTTGCCCAGCACATTAGTCAGCTTTCCTATTGCTGGACACAGTACTCGACACTTACAACTTAACAGAGTCGAGGTTAATTTGATTCATGGTTTCAGGGGATTCAGTCCATGGTCTGCTGGCTCCAAGGCAGGAATATCATGGTAGAAGGGCTTTAACTACTGATCTTCCTGTGTTAGCCTCCCAGAGTGCTATAAAGTTTCTTATCAGATTTCCCGTCAGGATTATAGTAAATTCTAGGCAGAGGACTTTCTTCCAGCAATGGCTGAGGCAACCATGATCTGTTGTGGCTATACAAGGCTTCAGTGGGCCATACCCTCCCTAGACTGGTTAGAATTTGGTTGTGGAGCATGTAACAGGATAATCCAAAAGTACAGTGGCTTAGACAAAGCAGAAGTACATTTCTCTGTCACAAATGAAGGAAGTCCAGAGATGGGTGGGCTAGACTAGAATGACAGCTCCACCCAGTCATCTGGGCCCTTGCTCTTTCCAGCCCCATCATCCCAGAACGTGACTTTTACACTCGGGACCCAAAATGGCTGCTCAAGTACCAACCAACACTTCCTCATTCCAAGTGGCAAGAAGAAGGTGGATGTAATCCCTCCTTTAAAGTAGACTTTCTACTACTTCTGCTTGCATCTCATTGGTCAGAATGTATTTAATCACACGATCACAATTTGCTTAAATGTTGATTAACAATAACAGGCAACACATGAAAAGGACACAACACAGAGACATTATTGGGAACAGACATTTCAACAGTACCCCAACAGTGTCTACTGGTGCACACGGATTTGAGAGCGTTAGTTCAAACATGGAGTTAAATGTCCAGTTGGCAAAGAAGCAAGGCTGATCGGCAGCACGGCAGCACATGTAAAATTGTTGTCTTATTGGTGAGGACCGGTGGCATTCTTACATCAGAGACCGTCGTGGTTGATCTTAACAAAGTTCCTGGAGTCCAAAAGTGATATCATGGCAGGAGCAGAAGGCTGTACATTAAGCAGAGTTATACCCAAAGGAAGAGATGATCAGCAGGCACACCCTCAGGAGCGCCTTGACTTGAACACACAGCAGTCACGGTGTTGTCAGGCCCACTGCTACCATTTCAGTGGCCCTCCACTTATCAGCAGGGTGTCTTGTACAGCAGTAATCCACAGGGAGAGCCAACGCCTTTGGCTGGCCAGGTGGCAATGAACCAGGCGGTGGGCCATGGTTGCCCTGCTCTGGCTGCCGAGTTGCATCCTCTCAGTCTGTGCCATAGTCTGCGGGCTGACAGCTGTGGTGGCCACAGTGGTGGCAGCAGTTCTGGCTGGGACCTGAGTGTGGCGTGACAGTGCTGGCTGGGCCTGGGCTGGGGGTGGCAAGGCAGGGGAAGGGGCGGCTCTTCAAGGGTTGGGTCTCAACGGACCGGACTGGAGCTGGCCCAGTCTCCTGGGTTAAGTCGCTGCTGTGGCGTCCCTTTGCCTCCTCTCCTGTACAAGCTGGTTCTTTTTCTCTCTCCAGCTGTATGCTCCCAAAGCCTCTGTGAGCTGTGGCGGTTTACCATTATGAATCTATTTTAATTCTCACACAGTCCTGTCCTAATATCCATTTTTTAGCAAGCTGTGAGTACAGCAAATTTTCTCAACCCAGAATATCATACCAGCTAACATCAGATTTCTTTCTTTTTTTTTTTGGTACCAGAGATCGAACTATGAACCTTGTATTTTCGAGACAGGCGCCGGAACCACTGAGCTAAATCCCCAGCTCAACATCAGATTTCTTAAAAAGTGGCATTCTGCCTTGGGGGAATCCTGTTTGTGATGCCAATTTGTAACAGCAAGGAGCCACATACAGGTTGTGGCCACAGAAATATGAGATTTGGATCTGCACGAACAGAAGAGCCACACAATGATTTAAAAAAGTTGAAAGTAAGTTTATTATAAAGTACAGCAGATACGAGCATCGTCAAATGATGTATTACCACACAAGGAGGCAGGCGCCTTTCATCAGCATCAAAGATGTAAGACGTTGCCTGAGCCGGAGCCTTTGGCAGGCGGGAGAAAACGCCACAGCACGCTCTGTCCCTTAGGTACTGTGTTCAGACAAAAGTGACTCGGTGCCGACAGACCTGCGTGGTGGGGGACAGGGTCAGCTTGGTGTGTTCACAGTTAAGTCTATGCACCCTCTCTCAGGAGAGGCCTCCCTGCAGAAGGGCGCGCAGGCCAAGGTCACTCAGCACACACACATTTCACTTGTAACCCTTTCTCCGACAAGATGCCAGAGCTGCCCAAGGTGCCCCATCCTGTGCCCCTCTGCCTGCTCATTGACCTCCCCATTAGGAGGAGGGGAGTCTGGAGACCAGGGCCGCCGAAGGCCGAGGCAGCGATGCTCTCCCCCGAAGGCCCAGGCCAGGGGTCCTCCCTTTGTGGATGTGGAGGCCTCTGCTGTTGAAGCTGCAGTCACCCAGCCCCTCCGTGGGGGGTAGCCACTGCCCACCGGTGCCCGCCCGGGACCTTCCCCGCTCTACAGGTGCAGAAGCAGACCCTGCGGGTGCCAGGCCCGCTGCTCACACCAGGCTGCAGCCCCGAAGGGCCAGGCAGATTCTCGTGTCCTCTCAGAATCACAGACCTCCTCAGCACGCGCCCCAAGGGCTGTCGAGATGAGACCCCGCTCAGTGCGCAAGTCCAGGTGGCAGCCCGGCTCCGCTTCCAGAAGAGTCGCCCCTTCCCCGCCCCTTCCCCGCCCCTTCCCCGCCCGGTCCGCGCCTTCGCGTCATGGCCCCGCCCCCGCGTCTCCACCGCCTCTCCCCGCCCCTCTCCCATCTAACCCCGCGCCTTCGCTAGGGTGGGGCTTGCGGTCTCCGCGGGGCAGTGGCTCTAAGAGGGGAACGTGCGGGGGCGGGAGCGGGCCCGCGCCACGCCGGGTCATTGGAGGAGGCCGCCACCTCGGCTGTCAGTCTCGCTGGCCTGGCCCCGCCTCCAGCGGCGCCCTGTCGCGGGACGTAGGGGGCCGCGGGGGCTGCCGGGACGGGCCCAAGATGGCCGGCGTCCTAGGTTCCGCTTCTGCTCGCGGCCCCGCGCCCCATTCATTGCTCCTCTGCTGAGCGGCGTCGCGTGGCGTGAGCCGGCCCTAGGCCTCCGGGGGTTGCCCCTCCGGGCGTTGCCCCGCCATGGCGACCTTAGAAAAGCTGATGAAGGCCTTTGAGTCCCTCAAGTCCTTCCAGCAGCAGCAGGCGCCGCCGCCGCAGCCCCCTCAGCCGCCGCCTCAGGCGCCGCCGCCCCCGCCTCCGCCGCCGCCTGGCCCGTCAGGGCCCGAGGAGCCGCTGCCCCGACCGTGAGTCCCCGGCGGCCGCGCTCCCCATTCCCAGCCTGTGGGTCACTTGCCCTCCCTGCCCCCGTCCCGCCCTGCCGGCCCCTCACCTGGTCTCTGCTCCTCCGCTAGGCCGTCTCGGGTCGCCGAGCCCCGGGTGTCGCGCCCTCCCCGCGTGCACAGAGTTGGGAGCGAACTTGTCTGTATATCCGCTAGCGGCTGGGGCGGGGTGCGCGGTCCTGTGGTGCGGCGAACTTGGGGGCTCGAGAGCCAAGGGAAGGGGCGCGGGGCACCCTGGGAGCGGCCACCGGGTGCTGGGGTGCGATGACATCATGCCTAGGACGCCGTGAGCCGCAGAGGGAGCGAGCGCGCGCGGCGGAGGTGCCTCCTCGGAGGGGCACCTTCGCAGCCGGCGACACGCGGCGCTTGCTGCACGCCTCGGCTCCCGTTTAGTTCCTAATCGCAGGGTAGTAGCAGGGTTTTAAGCATCTTTTGAGAGACCCGTTTATTCAGGCTGGGTTGGAGCGTGGTCCTTGGTGGAGATGTGGTTGCCAAGGATTGGTGAGCTGTTTAGATGGTGATTGCTAGTATGGTTGACTTAAACGTTAGGAAGAGTTGACTGATGAAGTTTATTGCCTGCTTTCTGTTGGAAATAAAAAGGACCAATTGGGGAGGGGGTAGTTGACTGGTGGAGTGAATGAATGAGGTGTGCGTGTCACCAACGTTGCCGTGGGGCTTGGCATAACCTGGGGCATCAGCCGACTCCGTGGGCATCTCAGGTGTCCAGATAAACTCCAGTAAAAGAGTTTCTGTTTGGGTCACAGCTGACATCCTGTCACTCTTTGGAAGCCAGGGGTCTCTGCTGCTTGTGCTTGGGGAGCTTTTCAAACAGAAAACTAGACCTTGTGGACTAACATCGAACAGAACCCCAGGACTTGCCTTGGAAGTCTTTGTGTGCTGAGTGTTCAGCCAGTGCCCTGCTGTCAAATATTTTTCTCATTTCTGTGCACTTTATTTCTGATCTGTGTTTGTACAAGGTGCCAGTTAATAAGGAGCGTTTTCAGGAAGCAGCTCCTTAAATCTCGCTTTGTTAAGACCCATCCAGTCTTAGTAATTCAAATTCTTTATGTTTCTTATAGGGTTCTTGCCGTACCCTGAGAATTTAATAAGAAACTGAGGATTTGGGGGGTAATGCTGGCTTATCTAATAGAATAAATCTAAAAAACTTTTCTCTTAAAAAGCAAAAAACCTGTTTGCATACTTAGAATTTTTGGAAAGCACTTTGACATATCTCTGCACAACTAATCATTCTGACTCTTACTGGAGTGCCTCTGTAGGTAGTACATAGGAGATGTGGAAGTTTACACATTGCCTATATCTTGTTTAAACTCGTAAGTGGGGCTGTTGGTGGGAAGGAATATCTTACTGCTGTAGGCTGCTTCAAACACAAGTTTACTCTTATTTTTGCATAAGTAATACATCGACATGATATGATTCCTAAATTAGGTAAATGTAACAATGGAAATGGCTCCTACTCACAGCTTTCTCCTGAGTACCTTACTGTCCTCAGGAGCAAGTGCTGCTGTACTCCCTCATGCTAAAAGATCCTCATGGATCTTTCCACACAAAATCTGTGCATATATTAAGATAGGTTTTAAATTATTTAAAAACAAAAGTAGGGCCGGGGATTTAGCTCAGTGGTTTCACTGCCTGCTGCGCAAGTGCAAGGACCCGAGTTCAATCCCTGGTACCAAAAAAAAAAAAAAATAAAAACAAAAGTAGTTTAATAACTTTTAAAGTTCTTAGCATGCTTTGAAATCAGTTACATTAGGCTTAATTTTATTTTAAGTAAAATGCATATATATCATATTTCTATGTACTTTGCTGTTGAAAAAGCAGGTATTCATTAATCTGAAGTAATAAGCTTACTGTTCATAAGATCAGATCTTGCATATCTGTTCACATGCTTCAGCTGAAAGGTCCTCTTCCCAAAGCAAACTGGTCACATCAGTTCAGAAAGTATCTGTTCAGTTTCTGTGGCTCTTGTTCTCTTGTATGGAACTAGTGTCACAGCAAGCATGGACTTCCACTGAAGGGTCTGCCTGCTCTCTGTTCAGTGTGTAGGATTTCTGGGTGGGGCTGACTACAAGTGTCAGCAAGCCCGGTGTGTTTTTAGGAGCCTAAAAGTCATTATGAGGCCACTGACATTTGCCTTTGACACTTTCTTGTTCTTCACATTCCCGCCTAGATTTTCCCCGGCTGTAGTTGTTCATTTATCAGTAAATATTTACTGACCATCTCCTGTGTGCTGGGCACTGTTCTACATGCAGGGCTTAGTGAACAAACTGTGCCTTCATGAAGCTTTCATTCTAGGGAGGGGCACAGACAGTAAGCAAGATAGATAAGTAAAGTGTATAGTACATTAATAATAAATGAAAAGGAACAGCAAAGCAGGGGAGGGGACTAGGAAATGTCAGGGCTACTAATAGTGTTGATGTTTTAGAGAGGTTGTTCAGGGAGTGGCCACTGAGATGATGGCTTTGAGGAAAGACATGAAGAGAGGCAGGGTTGTAGCATGAGTGTGGATGGAGGAAGAGTTCTGTACACCCCGTAGGGAAGCCTGTCTAAAGCCTGTCTGTTGGAGGAATAGCAAGGAGGTTATTTTTGCTGTTAGTTGAGTGAAGGGGAAATAAAAAAGGTGAGGTCAGCGAGGTAGAGGGAGTACCATACCAGATCATTCTTTGTAGGTAGAATAAGCTTGGGCCTTTTTTGTTTGTTTTTTTTTGAGTGAGAAGTCATTGGAGGGTTAGATTAGAGGAGTGGCCTGGTCTGAATTCCATTTTAAAATGAACTTTGGCTGACAATGGAGTGGAGGGGAGCACAGGTGGAGCAGGAAGTTGGCTGGAAAAAAGGATGATGCATGTTATTAGGATGTGGGCAGTGGGCAAGGTGGGAAGTGACTGGATTTTGGAGGTGGAACCAACAGGACTTGATCTCTGCTAAGCATAATGTAATGCAGCCATAGTTGGTGTTCCGTCAGTTACAATTGCTTTCAGCTGCAAATAACAGAAACCCTGCTGCAGGAGCTTAACCAGGTCACAGGTAATAGTTTATTGTTAGACAAAAATAAGTCTGTTTGAAAGAGTTCAGCGATAAAATCACGGACCCAAGCTCTTGCTCTTGCTCTTTCTTTCTTTTCTTTCATTCACCGGGATTGAACTCGGGAGCTTGTGCTTTTGAGGCAGGTGGTGGAACCACTGAGCTAAATCCCTGGCCCTCAAGCTCCAGCTCTTATACTTGGGTTGCAAGCTCTTGTCCTCATTCCTTTTCTTATCTTCTTCTTTTTTAAGTTATTTGTATTTTTCTTATTGATTTGTATCTATTCTTTATGATTTCTGGATACTAGGCCCTTATCAGGCATTTGATTTGTAAAACTTTTCTCCCTTTCTGTGGCTTGTGTTTTACTTTCTTGAAAGTGTCCTTTGAAGCACAAAGTTTTAAATTTTGAAAAGGCCAGCTTCTCGGTTTTGTCTGGGTGCTGTGCATTCCATGTCTTACCTGGGAAACCACTGCCTAATCTAAAGTCACAGGTTTACTCCTACGTTTTCTTCTAAAAATTGCAGAGATTAAGCTCTTGTAATTAGGTCTGCTCCATTTTGAGTTAATTTTTGTACATGGTAAGGTTTTGTACATGGTTTTCATTCTCATGTGTATTATCCCATAGTCCCTATTCATTTGTGTTGGGACCCTTGTTGAAAGTTAATTGCCCATGAACATATAGTATAGATTTATTTCTGGACTTCCCATTTGATTCCATTGATCTATGTCTATCTTGTGCCAGTACTGTACAGTCTTGATTACTGAAGTTTGTATCACAGTTTCAGTTTGTGAAAGGAGAGTCGTCCAACTTTCTTTTTAAAGATTGTTTTAGCTGTTCTGGGTCCCTTGCATTTCCACGTGAATTGTAGGATCCGTTTGTTAGTTTCGACAAAGAAGCCAGCTGGGATTCTGATTGGGATTGCATTGAATCTGTAGGTCAGTTTGAGCATTGTCATTTTAACAACGTGAAGTTTTCCATCCTGGGAACATTGGTCGTCTTTTTATGTAAATAGTCACATAATAACTATTTCAGGCCTTGTGGACAATGTCTTGGTCACAGCCTTTCAGCTCTACCATTGTACTTTGAAAGCAGCTATAATGATATGTAAGTGAATGTGCCAATAAATTTTTATTAATAATGATAAAATTTGAATTTCATTTGACAGTCACATCATGAAACATTATTCTTCATTTTTTTTGGACAACTACTTAAAACTGTAAAAACATTTCTTATGGACCAGTTAAAAACAGGCAGGCTAGCCGGGTATTTAGCTCAGTGGTTCCGCCACTTGCCTTGCAAGCGCAAGATCCCGAGTTCGATCCCCGGTTCCAAAAAAAAACAAAACAGGCAGGCTGTAGTTTGCACACCCCTAAATTAAAATGTCATATTTACTCCTATGTTTTCTTCTAAAAATTTTAGTCTTGAGGCCAGGGATTTAGCTTAGTGGCTCTGTGCCTGCCTCCCAAGTGCAAGGTCCTGAGTTTGATACCTGGGATTGAAAAACAAAACAAAACAAAAAATAAATAAACACACAAAAATTTTAGTTACTTCTCACCATGCCCATCATGCCAGGACTGCTTTGGGGGAAGTGCTTCTTTTTTGGTTGCTTTGTATTACGAGTTTAAAAACTTGTAAAAGTTATACATCATAAAAACATCTCCAGGTACCACAGAAGAGGAAGACAGCCTTTCTTCTACTCTGACCTCCTAGGCTCGCTTCCTAAGATAGCAGTTATTTTTGTGTCTTCTTCCCAGACAAGCACTCAAGTGTGGCCTTTTCTTCCATGAGGGAGTCACACTACTGTATTTGTATTTTCACTTAACAATGTTATAGACATCATTCCTTAGCAGAACATACAATTCTTATTAATTGCTACATAATATTAGAATGTTTGGAAAGATGACTTGTGGAGATGTACGGCAAA